TGATCTGATCATTATCCTTGTATATTATCTCTGTGTGGCCATACAATAGGTAATGTATATAGGACTTAATCTCAGAGTGGCAGCCAACCAGGTACAGTAGTCATTTCTACTCCTACCCACTTGGGAGGCTGACACCAGAGAGTTGCTACAGAGTTGGAGGCTAGCCTGTGTTACAAGGCAACTCTCTGTCTCAAATAGGTAGACACCCACCTCCTCAGACCTGGTGACTTGAGTTTGGTCTCCAAGACCTACATAGTGGAGGAAGAAAACAAATTCCTTATAGCTGAACTCTGATCTCATGTAGCATGACATTTATGAGTGCTCCTAAATATGTGCTTCTGAACATGTGTGTAGGCAAGTGAGCACACACACACACACACACACACACACACACACCTCTATAAACTGCTCTTCCCATGCAGCCGCTGGTGGAAATCAAGGAGGAAGCTAGCAGGCAGGCATCAGAACCCTGGTAAAGCCAAGTGGGATTGATGAAATGTGTGGTGCATTCTTGCAGCAGGCGCTACTGCACACAGCATCAGCCCTCGGGCTATGTGGAAGTACGGCAATGTGTTCCAGTGCACCAACCCTTTGATTCAAAGCTTCAGGATATACAACTACTATTGCTGGTACTGTCTCTTTGATACCTGGAATGACCGGATGGAAGACTTAGACAAGTGAGTGATCCAACTGGTGGGAGACTGCAGTGTCTGGGCTGGGGTGGGGACAGGACAGGAGACATGCATATTCAGCAGATGTCCTATTTTGTCTTATTTATTATTGTTGTTTGTTTCTGTGTTTCCAGGCAGGGGTTATCTATGTACCCCTAGCTGTTCTGGAACTCTCTCTCTAGAGACCATGCAGGATTAGAACTTGAAGGTCTTCCAGCTGAGGTTAAAGGTGTGCATCACCACCCAGCATGTATTTTCCCATTTTGTCATGTAAAGAAATCAGTCCAAGAGGACCCTGTGTCCAGTGATCCTTGTAGGCAGAATGTGTAAGATGCAAATAGTGGATATTGCTGGCCTCAAGTAACAGAGTAGGTTATGGCCAACCATCACAGCCTCCATCAAAGTGTCTGCCTTGGCTTTAAGAAGTTTTCACAACTTCAGAATATATAATTTCACTATATTCCTTCAGCTTTGATATAAAAATTCACTTTTTGGAGACAAAGTTCACTTATATATCCCTGGCTGAAGGCTAACTCAGAGATCCAAACTGCCTCTGCCTCCCATGTGCTGGGATTGATGGTGTACACCACTACACTCCACAGAAGTTCCTTTCAATAACTGTACTAAGAGAAATCACAGATTCTCAGGCCTCAGGACCATTTCTTTTGGAACATTGTGATTAAGTTATCCTCACATGTTTGAGAAAGATGCAGGTGAGAACTGAGCTCCTGAGGGTCCATGCTCCTCCCTCAGCTGTTCCTTCCTCTCTCCAGGTGCTGCAGGTTTCGTGCCGACTGCTATGCTCAGGGCAATAAAATGAAAAACTGTACCTTCCGCTTAGGCGACCCGAAAACGACCTCCTACTCATACTCGTGTTCTGGAGCTGTGGTCACATGTAGTGGTAGGTTTACCCTCCGGGACCTCTGGATTCTGCTTGCCCTCAGTAGATTTGGAAGGAGCAGGGACTTTACAAGGAAAGTCACCATTAAGCAGTCATTGCCTAGGCCCCATTTGACATAACAGCCTTATCAGATAGATACTAAAATATAGATGAGTCCCATGATGAGAAGGAAGGCTGGACCACTTGCCCAAGGTCACCCAGCTTAGAAGTGATAGCATTTGGTTCTGGAACACAGATCTACATCATTCCAAAGTGTTTTAAAAACATTTAATGATTTTATGTAATTCTGGTGGAGGCATGCCTGTGTCGCAGCACAGGTGTAGAGCTCAGGACAATGTGCAGGAGTCTATTTTCTCCTTCTACCTTATGAGTCCTGGGGACAGAATTCAGGTTCAGACTCAGCAGCAAGTGCAATTATGCCCTGAGCCGTGTTGCCTGCCCAAAGCCTCTCCTATTAACCAATATGTTTACTGATTCCATATTTACTGAACAATTAAAAGCTGCATCATTGGCTATAAGCCAAACACTGGACTAAACACCTATGCAGGGCAAGATTTATCATTCCCATTTTACAGGAGAGGATTCAGAGAACTGGGAAAGTAGCTCAGTTGCTAGAGAGCTTGTCTGGAATGCACAGAGCCCTGGTTTCCACCTCCAGAACCCATACATTGAGTGTGGTGGGGCACACCTCAACATAAGTACTGGGGAGGTGGAGGCAGGAGGATTGTCTTAAAGCATATGACTTTAGAAGTGGTAGTTGATATTTTTTCTGGGTTTTAGGTTTAAATATGCATGTGTGTTTTATGTATAGGAACAAGTTGAAGGGGCTGGAGAGATGGCTCAGTGGTTAAGGAATGAGTTGGCACCTGTCTTCTTCAGTCACTCCCTGCCATGTTTATTGTCTGGGACTCTCACTAAACAGGACACTCACCTTTTGCTAGCATGAATGACAGACAAATGTAGGGGTCTGCCCTACCCACTTCCCAATAGAGTTACAGATGCCCCAACCACAACTTGCTTTTCACATGAGCTCTGGGCATTCTAGGTCAGGCCCTCATGTTTATATGGTAACCACTTTACCAACTGTGGTGTCTCCCCAGCCCCACAACAACTAATTGTTTTATTACAAGTTCATTCCAGCAATTTGGGTAACCCCATGTCCTTTAGTGTGCTTTGTCTTTCAACCCTGAGTCTGCACCAATGGGAGGGCCACCAGTGTCTTTTGGTTACAAAATGTAGAAAGCAGGGTGATGGGCTCCACTCAACTTCCTTTCTTGTTTCTCTGCAGATGAAAATGATGCCTGTGAGGACATCATCTGCAACTGTGACCGCCAGGCTGCCATCTGCTTCTCCAAGAGTTCTGAAAACAAGGGCCTTGTTGGAGGTTATTGTTAGTCTTGTCACCACAGTTACTGCCTACACCATCCCTGCCTTCTAGTCTGGGTTCACTACACACTGTTCCCTCTAATAAAGCATCTATTGAAAGAAGTGGGCTCTGGTGACTGTATTCCCTGTCTGCAGAATATCTGTAGCTCTTCAGGAATATCATTCAGTCTAATCCTGGATGGTGAAGATTAATGGGAAAGACACTGCCATTAGGGGAGCACTCTGAAAACTGGGTGATGAGCCCAGCCATGCCTTTCATACCAGAACTCCAGGATAGAGAGGAAGGTGGAGAGGCAGGCAGATATCTTGATTTCAAGATAACCCTGGTCTAAAAATCCAGCTCCTGCACAGCCAAGACTATTACACATCGATCCCTGTCTCAAAAAAGAAAAAGAAAAAACAAAATTAAGGTCATCCTGAGACACATAGGGGTTGGAGAAGGTACAAAAAGGGGAAGGAGATGGGAGATACAAGGAAGGGAAGAGGAAAATAAATGAGGGAAGCAGAGGGGAGGGAGGAGGAGAGAAAAGAATGAGAGACAGGTAGGAGGGATAGAAAAGAGAAAGATTTAGTGTCACCTGAGCACTAAGGCAGCATTGTGTCCCTAAATGTACTGGGCTCCTGGGTGGTGTGGGGCCCACCTTTAACCCCAGGACTATGGACTCAGAGATAGGTGGATCTCTGTGAGTTCCCAGCAAGGTCTAAACACATGTCACAGGATGACTGTCCCCCTAAAATTCACAGCAGCCTAACTTTTGCAACAAACAAAACAGAATTATCTTCTCTTTCTCCATCACAGGAGCCCAAAGGTGAAAACTCGTTAATCCCTGGTTTCCTGGTCAACCTGATTTAGGAATAAGATGTCTTTGTGGTTCCTGGCCTCCCTCCTGTGCAGTCCTCCAACTTTCTGCTCTACCCTAACCCCACCTGTATGCCAAATCTCAGGCCTCATCTCTCCAAAGGACATGCCTGGAGAGTAGCAGATACAGCTCTAGCCCCCTGCACAGGCACAGTGACTGGTATTAGCTAATAGTGGCTCTCCAGAGTCCCATTGGAAGTGTACAGAGAGCTTTAACATATAGACAACCAACTCAACTCACCCCTTCATGGTTTTTATCTAGAAAAAGAGGTGAACAGTGGGGAAAGGAGAAGCTGGAGTGCTAAGTTACAGGGTACATGAGAGATGACCAAACTCAGAGACCAGACGTATACGGCATTGGACCAGCAGACATCATTCACCAGCCACCATGTGGTTGCTGAGAATTGAACTCCAGTCCTCAGCAAGAGCAGAAAGTGCTCTTAAGAGCTGATCCATCTCTCCAGCCCCTGAAGTGGTTGATTGTCAGCTTCACACACTGGGGAGGGAGAACCTCAGCTGAAGGATTGCCTGCATCACATTTGCCTGTGGGCACAGCTGCTGGGCATTTGTTTCTTTCTCTTTTATATTTCCGTTTTTATTATTTTGAGAAAGTTTCTTTGTGTCTCTCTAGATGTCCTAGAATTCAGTCTGTACAGCAGGCTGGCTTTGAACTCACATATTTGCTTGTCTCTGCCTCCTAAGTCCTGACATTAAAGGCATGCACAACGAGCACCACTGGGCAATATCCCCAGTTTTTAAATGGAGTTTGTAGTCTAGCAACTTGCAGCCTATGATGCAAGTCTGTACATCTGAGCTTGATTCCTGGAACCCATTTAAAGTTAGGAGAGAACTGACTCCACAGAGTTGTCCTCTGACCTCTACATGTACAGACAAGAGCACTCTCTCCCCCACCACATGAATTAAATAATTAATTAAATATCAAATTCAGAATTGAATCTACCTCAAAGGCTTTGTCCGGAATCCAACACGAATATCTTAGATATTCAGGGTAACAGGAACATACCTAAACATAATAAAGGCAATGTATCACAAGCTAACAGCCAACATCAAACTAAATGGAGAGAAACTCAACAATTCCTCTATAATCAGAAACAAGATAAAGCTGTCCACTCTCTCCATATCTCTTCAATATTGTACTCAAGGTTCTGGCTAGAGCAATAACACAAAAAAATCAAGAGGATACAAACTGGAAACGAAGAAGTTGAAACTTTCACTATTTGCAGATAGAATAGTATACATTAGTGACCCAAAAAATTCTACCAGGGAACTCCTACAGCTGGTAAACACCTGCACTAAAGTGACAGGATACAAGATTAACTCAAAAA